TTGAATGTGTCAGTTAGACTGCCTAAAGGCATGAATGAAGATTGAACCCTTGCCTATCCCCGGTCAGGGAATATTTTCAAAAACACCCTTCGAAAACATTTTATCTAACATTTGGGTAAACTTTTCGAAGATAAAAAAAGCAAGCACATCGAGCATGGACCACAATGCGCCGTTTAGCCTTGCTAAAGGCAAAGAATAGGGATTGAGCCCATGATCTTCGGTTTACGAGCTTTTCATACATTTTCATAAATTGATTTGAATGTGTCAGTTAGACTGCCTAAAGGCATGAATGAAGATTGAACCCTTGCCTATCCCCGGTCAGGGAATATTTTCAAAAACACCCTTCGAAAACATTTTATCTAATTTTTGGGGAAACTTTTTGAAGAAAAAAAAATCGAGCATGGCTCCATTTAACTCGAGCCGGATTTGAACCAGCATTTTATCTAACGTTTGAAGATAAAAAAAGCAAGCAAGGATCTCCGTAGGCTACCACTACGGTCCACCGCATTTTCATACCAACTGAGCTAAAGGCATGAATTGAAGGTCTTCAGTCAAATCCTCGCTCTACCAACTGAGCTATCGAAGGTCCTCTCAGGAATATTTTCAAATGAAATGACCCTGAAAGCGAAACATCTTTTTATCTAACATTTCTGTTAAGAAGATAGCATGGACCACAATGCGCCGTTTAGACTTGCTAAAGGCAAGGATGGGATTGAGCCCATGATCTTCGGTTTACGAGCTTTTCATACATTTTCATAAATTCATTTGAATGTGTCAGTTAGACTGCCTAAAGGCATGAATGAAGATTGAACCCTTGCCTATCCCCGGTCAGGGAATATTTTCAAAAACACCCTTCGAAAACATTTTATCTAATTTTGGGGAAACGTTTTGAAGAAAAAAAAAGCAAGCACTTCGAGCATGGACCACAATCCGCCATTTAGACTTGAATGTGTCATTTAGACTGCCTAAGGGCATGAATGAAGATTGAACCCTTGCCTATCCCCGGTCAGGGAATATTTTCAAAACACCCTTCGAAAACATTTTATCTAACATTTGGGTAAATCGACCACAATCCGCCATTTGAATGTGTCATTTAGACTGCCTAAGGGCATGAATGAAGATTGAACCCTTGCCTATCGGTCAGGAATATTTTCAAAAACACCCTTCGAAAACATTTTATCTAATCATGGACCACATCGAGCATGCAATGCCCGTTTACCCCAAGGACTTGCTAAAGGCAAGGATGCAGGGATTGAGCCCATGATCTTCTAATTTTGGGGTTTGAAAGAAAAAAAGCAGCTTTTCATACATTTTCATAAATTCATTTGAATGTGTCAGTTAGACTGCCTAAAGGCATGAATGAAGATTGAACCCTTGCCTATCCCCGGTCAGGGAATATTTTCAAAAACACCCTTGAAAACATTTTATCTAACATTTGGGTAAACTTTTCGAAGATAAAAAAAAAGCACATCGAATGGACCTAAACACATAAAGGCGAAGAAAAAAAGAACTTCGAGCATGGAGGCATGGACCATTTTCATAAAATTTGAATGTGTCACTTTTAGCCTTGCTATCCCCGGTCAAGGAATATTTTCAAAAACAAAAACATTTTATCTAACATTTGGGTAAACTTTTGAAGAAAAAGCAAGCACATCGAGCATGGACCACAATGCGCCGTTTAGACTTGCTAAAGGCAAGGATGGGGATTGAGCCCATGATCTTCGGTTTACGAGCTTTTCATACATTTTCATAAATTGATTTGAATGTGTCAGTTAGACTGCCTAAAGGCATGAATGAAGATTGAACCTTGCCTATCCCCAGGGAATATTTACAAAAACACCCTTCAAAACATTTTATCTAATTTTTGGGGAAACTTTTACCAAGAAAAAAAAGCACTTCGAGCATGGACTACAATGCGCCGTTTAGACTTCCTAAAGGCAAAAAGTTTACCCAAAAATTAGATAAAATGTTTTCGAAGGGTGTTTTTGAAAATATTCCCTGACCGGGGATAGGCAAGGGTTCAATCTTCATTCATGCCTTTAGGCAGTCTAACTGACACATTCAAATCAATTTATGAAAATGTATGAAAAGCTCGTAAACCGAAGATCATGGGCTCAATCCCTATTCTTTGCCTTTAGCAAGGCTAAACGGCGCATTGTGGTCCATGCTCGATGTGCTTGCTTTTTTTTTCTTCGAAAAGTTTACCCAAAAATGTTAGATAAAATGTTTTCGAAGGGTGTTTTTGAAAATATTCCCTGACCGGGGATAGGCAAGGGTTCAATCTTCATTCATGCCTTTAGGCAGTCTAACTGACACATTCAAATACATTTTTGAAAATGTATGAAAAGCACGTAAACCGAAGATCATGGGCTCAATTCCCATCCTTGCCTTTAGCAAGTCTAAACGGCGCATTGTGGTCCATGCTCGATGTGCTTGCTTTTTTTTCTTCGAAAAGTTTACCCAAATGTTAGATAAAATGTTTTCGAAGGGTGTTTTTGAAAATATTCCCTGACCGGGGATAGGCAAGGGTTCAATCTTCATTCATGCCCTTAGGCAGTCTAAATGACACATTCAAGTCTAAATGGCGGATTGTGGTCCATGCTCGAAGTGCTTGCTTTTTTTTTCTTCAAAACGTTTCCCCAAAAATTAGATAAAATGTTTTCGTAGGGTGTTTTTGTAAATATTCCCTGACCGGGGATAGGCAAGGGTTCAATCTTCATTCATGCCTTTAGGCAGTCTAACTGACACATTCAAATGAATTTATGAAAATGTATGAAAAGCTCGTAAACCGAAGATCATGGGCTCAATCCCATCCTTGCCTTTAGCAAGTCTAAACGGCGCATTGTGGTCCATTTATCTTCTTAACAGAATAAGCGGCCAAGATATATCGCTTTCAGGCGTCATTGGTTTGTCTTTGACTGAGAGACCTTCGATAGCTCAGTTGGTAGAGCGGAGGACTGTAGTGGTAGTTACGGAGATCCTTAGGTCGCTGGTTCAAATCCGGCTCGAAGGAGCATGCATTTTTGTTTCTTCAAAAGTTTCCCCAAAAATTAGATAAAATGTTTTCGAAGGGTGTTTTTGTAAATATTCCCTGACCGGGGATAGGCAAGGGTTCAATCTTCATTCATGCCTTTAGGCAGTCTAACTGACACATTCAAATCAATTTATGAAAATGTATGAAAAGCTCGTAAACCGAAGATCATGGGCTCAATCCCCATCCTTGCCTTTAGCAAGTCTAAACGGCGCATTGTGGTCCATGCTCGATGTGCTTGCTTTTTTTTTCTTCAAATGTTAGATAAAAAGTTTACCCAAATGTTAGATAAAATGTTTTCGAAGGGTGTTTTTGAAAATATTCCCTGACCGGGGATAGGCAAGGGTTCAATCTTCATTCATGCCTTTAGGCAGTCTAATGACACATTCAAATGAATTTATGAAAATGTATGAAAAGCTCGTAAACCGAAGATCATGGGCTCAATCCCCATTCTTTAGCAAGTCTAAATGGCGCATTGTGGTCCATGCTCGATGTGCTTGCTTTTTTTTCTTCAAAAAGTTTCCCCAAAAAAAAATTAGATAAAATGTTTTCGAAGGGTGTTTTTGTAAATATTCCCTGACCGGGGATAGGCAAGGGTTCAATCTTCATTCATGCCTTTAGGCAGTCTAACTGACACATTCAAATGAATTTATGAAAATGTATGAAAAGCTCGTAAACCGAAGATCATGGGCTCAATCCCCATCCTTGCCTTTAGCAAGTCTAAACGGCGCATTGTGGTCCATGCTCGATGTGCTTTTTTTTTCTTCGAAAAGTTTACCCAAATGTTAGATAAAATGTTTTCGAAGGGTGTTTTTGAAAATATTCCCTGACCGGGGATAGGCAAGGGTTCAATCTTCATTCATGCCTTTAGGCAGTCTAACTGACACATTCAAATCGAAGGGTGTTTTTGTAAATTTATGAAAATGTATGAAAAGCTGAAAAGCTCGTAAACCGAAGATCATGGGCTCAATCCCTATTCTTTGCCTTTAGCAAGTCTAAACGGCGCATTGTGGTCCATGCTCGATGTGCTTTTTTTTTTTCTTCAAAAGTTTACCCAAAAATGTTAGATAAAATGTTTTCGAAGGGTGTTTTTGAAAATATTCCCTGACCGGGGATAGGCAAGGGTTCAATCTTCATTCATGCCTTTAGGCAGTCTAACTGACACATTCAAATGAATTTATGAAAATGTATGAAAAGCTCGTAAACCGAAGATCATGGGCTCAATCCCCATCCTTGCCTTTAGCAAGTCTAAACGGCGCATTGTGGTCCATGCTCGATGTGCTTGCTTTTTTTTTCTTCGAAAAGTTTACCCAAATGTTAGATAAAATGTTTTCGAAGGGTGTTTTTGAAAATATTCCCTGACCGGGGATAGGCAAGGGTTCAATCTTCATTCATGCCCTTAGGCAGTCTAAATGACACATTCAAGTCTAAATGGCGGATTGTGGTCCATGCTCGAAGTGCTTGCTTTTTTTTTCTTCAAAACGTTTCCCCAAAAATTAGATAAAATGTTTTCGTAGGGTGTTTTTGTAAATATTCCCTGACCGGGGATAGGCAAGGGTTCAATCTTCATTCATGCCTTTAGGCAGTCTAACTGACACATTCAAATGAATTTATGAAAATGTATGAAAAGCTCGTAAACCGAAGATCATGGGCTCAATCCCCATCCTTGCCTTTAGCAAGTCTAAACGGCGCATTGTGGTCCATGCTCGATGTGCTTGCTTTTTTTTTCTTCGACAAGTTTACCAAAAATGTTAGATAAAAAAGGGTGTTTAGATAAAATGTCCCTACCGGGGATAAAATCTTTTCATGCCTTTAGGCAGTGACACATTCAAATTTTTGAAAATATTCCCTGACGGGGATATGTGCTTGCTTTTTTTTTTTCTTCAAAAGGGTTCAAAAATTAGATAAAAAGGGTGTTTTGTAAATATTCCCTGACCGGGATAGGCAAGGGTTCAATCTTCATTCATGCCTTTAGGCAGTCTAACTGACACATTCAAATACATTTTTGAAAATGTATGAAAAGCACGTAAACCGAAGATCATGGGCTCAATTCCCATCCTTGCCTTTAGCAAGTCTAAACGGCGCATTGTGGTCCATGCTCGATGTGCTTTTTTTTTTCTTCGAAAAGTTTACCCAAATGTTAGATAAAATGTTTTCGAAGGGTGTTTTTGAAAATATTCCCTGACCGGGGATAGGCAAGGGTTCAATCTTCATTCATGCCCTTAGGCAGTCTAAATGACACATTCAAGTCTAAATGGCGGATTGTGGTCCATGCTCGAAGTGCTTGCTTTTTTTTTCTTCAAAACGTTTCCCCAAAAATTAGATAAAATGTTTTCGTAGTGTGTTTTTGTAAATATTCCCTGACCGGGGATAGGCAAGGGTTCAATCTTCATTCATGCCTTTAGGCAGTCTAACTGACACATTCAAATGAATTTATGAAAATGTATGAAAAGCTCGTAAACCGAAGATCATGGGCTCAATCCCCATCCTTGCCTTTAGCAAGTCTAAACGGCGCATTGTGGTCCATTTATCTTCTTAACAGAATAAGCGGCCAA